TTGGAAACGGGACACATGATTAACTTTGAAGGGGCCAAAATACTTCAGAAAAGATTCAACAATCATAAAGAAAGATTGACAGCAGAAGCGCTGTATATATGGGCGAATAAGAATAGCCTAAACAGAAAGGATGGTATTCAGCTAGCTACCACTTGGCAAATATTCATCAACAAGTAATTTGACCTTTTCTTTTACCTGTCTACTTCACATGAATCATTATTATGACTGAAATCAATATGAGTTATGTTAACATTAAGATTATGTACTAGATGATGATTCTCATTTTATTTGCAATTTCGATGTTTCCGAAAAAACTTTTCAACCTTCATTTTGCACTTTTATTCTTATTTTTACTTCACATAGAAACATATCAACACTGAATATCATTCATTAATAACTCATCTTACACATACATACACACACACACAATTCATCCAGTCTCCTTTAATTCACATCGTTGAACTTTTCACTTGATTCTCATTCAACTGACTCATATTATCCTGTTTACAAAAAATTCGAGATCCAAATATGATTGTTAAAAAAAACATTATATATTTCTTTGATGATTTTGATTTTGATTATTTCCCCGAAGAAGTCCAGACAAGTTAGCTGGACGAAACGTTGGAATTGTTTATATTTCAATCGCTGAGACTACTTCAAATATAATTTTTTCACATATAATGAATTCTCTATACTCGGCGCCCAATTATTGTCAAACTATTCGTTCTAACCTTGACGAAAATTCGTATAAACTTCTTATGTATATACTATAAATATATGAACGTTATTCAAATCAGTGATTGCTGTTCACATACCATTATTATTTGTGAATACAATTTGATTCCTGATCAGTGTTCTGATTTTTGGGTCTTGTTGAGTGTCATCGTATAAGAATACTAAGCAATAGGAATCGCTGGGTCGTTTATATAGCAAAACACAATTATAACAGTAAGTCTAAGTCCCGTTATCTTTGTTTTTAGATTTACCAAAAATAATTTACCCCGAAGTAAAAATTGATTTTTTTTCAATCAATTTTGATAGTGACTACCAAATCAACAACGACAGAGAGAATACTCAAATTTGTCACAATAACCAATGTTTTTTTTCTATCGTCTGAAAATGGAATTTCATACTTCCTGATATATAAATTTTATTACTACTACAAATACTACTGTTTACATTTATGAAATACATTTGAAAAATACATGGACCATTCAAATACATATTAATTTCCTTTAAACTGAACGCCTGCACACAAACATACATAACTACCTGTAAATATAGATAAACAAGAAGTTGGATACGCCCAATGGTTTCTTATTCATTATTTTTCACAAGATTATTGTGAATATTACATTCTGTTGGAAAAAAGTTACCAAAAACGGACAAGTGTAAACGCCTTCTTTAACATGGATTCTAAGGAAGTTTTCTATATAGCATTGTAAGGACTTCAAATTTTTTCTGTGTTCTGTGTCTATTTATCATTGGTTACATGGCTTTTTTTATTCTAGTTCTCTCTCTCTTTCTCTCTCTCTGTATATATATATATCATCTACACAATATCTGATAATTTAACCAGTAAATATCCTTCTTTCATGTTAAGTCGATTTTTACAGGGTTAAACAAGGTTTTATTCTTACTTCGTTAAAAACCATTTGAACAACATGATGCTTAATAATAAGTATATCCTTTTGTTATATCTCAATATGTAGAAAAATTATATTTCTGACGTTTAGTGACCACTTCATTGACCGCTTCTTCAGAGTAAAGATTTTTCTACATATTGGGATATAACAAAAGGATATTAGTTATTAACTATTCACCAAATGTTCAATTTGTTTGAAACTATCAAGTCCAACCATGGGATTGATACTTACCAACGTATTGCTTAGTTTTACTAGTGTTAAATTGAAAAATAACTAGTAGATATTTTCTCCTGTAAACAAGAATTGCATGATAATAGTAATAATAAATGTAATATTTGAACCAATTTATACCCTACATAAATTACATTTCCCTACTATGTTACTTCCATATACTTTTTTTCATTATGCAAACATGTTTTACAGTGTATTATTTATTCGAAATTACTAAGATTTATGCATTTTCGTTCATGAAATTCATCTACAAATATCTGCAATTTATTTAAACTTAATTTATTGGCTCGAAAATAGTGATAATAGATTGTTAGGTATTTTGTAAGTGAGATTAAGGTTGTATAGTCACTAACTGGAACATAATTTCTGATTGTATCAACCACTATGTATTCTTAGTAAACTAATCAGATAAATAGGAAAACAGAACTGATATATAGGTATAAATGCCAAGGGTGTGCCTGATAGTTTTAAATAAATTGAGAATCAGGTAAAATATTGATAACAAATATATTTTTTCTGATTCGGCTATTTATTTACTTTGTAGAAGTGGCTTACAATAAGTCGCAAAACGACAGACACACAATTTTTCTACTCATGGGGATATAACAAAAAATATATGTACAGATCCAAACTCTACTGATTGAGAATAAAACAAAGTAATGTCGCAAATGCTACAATGCTGTAAGGTTTTAGAGATTGTAAACCTTAGAATATATTGAGCAGTGAACTATATTTGACCACAATTTTATCCTATGTATGGTTACAAATTCAAAGCGTTCAGGTTATAAATATTTTAACATTAAGATATTTCTTAATTTTATGATATAATCTCAAAAAATTTCAAAAAAATGTCATCACGGTTATACTGTTAGTGAAATAGATCATACAAATGTCAAGAATGGATCAAGAAGTTTTTCTATTGTTCTTTTTTATAGTCACCTATCACTGGGATCAGGTCTGTTAGTTCGGGAACTAACATACACAATACAATACTTAAATACTTTTAGTTTAGATATTTACGAGGTCTATAGAATAAGAAGCGCAATGAATATTAAGAATAAAAACAAATCCATTCAGTTGAAGGTCAAAAATTTATCAACTTGATTAATAAAGTTTACCGAAATTAAAAACGAACAGAAATAAATAAAATTGATTGGAGAAAGGTTTCAACTAGCAAAACACTGCCCTACGATGTAAAGTAAAAAGATTAAACAACTCATAAGTTTTCCCATTTCTTTTGGCTTAATTAACAAACTGTGCAAGTTAGTTAGAATTCCATCATGATACACATTTTCATTTGTTTGTATTTGGTTTGTACAACTACATGTTTAATATCTTCGACGATAAAAGATAAAAATCGTCAGTTATAGTGAAAATAAGTCAATAACGCTTTTTAGAAGAGAAAACAAGTACGTACATGTTTTTTTCCGTTTTTCGCATGACGTTTGTCATCATTGAATGATATAAACTATAGGCTTTGTTTATCGTGTTCAGATGAACTATGGATATTGTTTCATCATTTGTTTTGTTTAATATATAATATTTTCACATGGAAAAAGTATGTTATAAATTCCTTGTAGCGTTCATTAAAATTTGATGTAAACAAACCTGCTTAGCATACAGAGTATTGTCAAACTAACCAGTCGATTTCAAGATCATGACAAGTATACTAATCAAGCCTGTCGTTCAGCCAAAAATAAGGATACATGGATTTAACGTCAGGCTAAATTATTACGACTTTGAGTTTGGAAATCGTAACAATGTTTACAGAACATAAGAATGGTACATAAAATACTGAAATAAGAAAGTCTGGATAAAGGGACGTTGACTGTATATCCGGAAACATGAGATATATTGATATAGATCGGCTAGAATGTTAGGGTAAGAGAAATCAAAAACAACTTCTAAGGTGATAAACTCATGTTAAACCAACACACTTTTAGTAAACTCCATTTTCTACTTTAATTATTTAAACACTTAAACATTGGTACAAGGAGGCACCAAATATATATACTTGTTACACAAATTAAATAATTTGCATGAAGGCTGGGATACTCACATGTCTTCCAAAAAGAAGCATGTTATACTTTTAGGAGGCCACTCCCGAGCCTTTGATCTAGAGCTCTAATCCACAAGGCGATGGGAGATGCAGTCCCATGGTAGCCGGTGACCAACAATAGGTTTATAGCCTTTTGATTTCTCAGTATCCTGGAGCCCATGTGCACCATTGGTTTGGAATCAGGGTTTTCCAACTCCTCTAGGTGGATCCTCCATACCCACCAACTCGGTGCCGGACATTCGCTTTCCGTCCTACCAATTTCGTAAACAACATCCTGGTCACGAAAAGACAGTCAGTAGGATTTTCCTGGCATTGACTATATACGCATGACCATGTAATAGCATTTTGAGAGGAAGAGCTGACTCTCCTCACTCTCGGCCGTACCAGGGCATTTGTGGGCTCATTTTCTATCGTAAATTAGTTATTTATTTCTGCAATGGTGAAGGTGCATCCACTCTTTGTGTTCCCTTAAATTCTAATCTTCTGAATTCTTCACGTCTCTATCTTTATCTTTTTTCAAATTTATTTCACTGGATAGTGCTCCTTGAATAACATCTTCAAACCCTAATCTTTCCGATTACTGCTTGTACTCTTACTACCTCTACCACTATGGGATCTGAATCGACAACTGCATCTTTGTGCTAATGTGGTATGGCAACTCGAACTGATGTACGTACATACGAAGTTCTACGTTGTGACTGACTGTTTTCTGAATGGTTAAAACTTATCGAGATCTTAAGGTTGTTCCGCAATATTCGTTAAATATGAATCTTTAAATTAGAAAAAAACATCTACTTAAGTTTGTCTATTTCAAATTATTTACGGAATTATTTGACAAATTTATGTTAACTAAAAGTAACAATAAGCTAATAAACGTCCGATTTCTGTTGTTCACAAAGAGAAAACAACACATTAATTTTAGAAAAGCCAATTCTTTCTGTAAATACGAAACTTGTGTTGCTTAGGCAAGTAATCGACATGAATTACTTTTCAAAACTAGTAAGATTACATAGAACAACAAGAAACCTTCATTACAGTTAATTTAAAAATTACTTCACACTTACCTGTAATTTACTTTCATCTAATTCTTTATTTGTTCCATTGATAGGCGCAACAAAATTATCCGGAAATATGCCAATTAAATTTGTACGCATGTTTCTACCTCTCCACCAACCATCGTCAGGTAGATTACGATCTAATACTTGAATGATATCATCTATGTGTAATTCTAACTCATCTGCCTGTTTCGGTATATATTCATAACGTGCTCGAACTTGATTTGTTGGATAATTTGATGCAGTATCATCAAGAACTATGAGGTAAAAATGAAAATGAATGGAGAACATTTGTTAAAACTTTTGAGAAAAAGAAGACATTAAGAAATAATACATTGAATTTTAGGTGAATATATTTGCGTGAAACCTATATTTAACTATAATGAAAACTACAAAACTGGGGTGTACAACAAGTTGGTGTTTAACTGAAATAGTATCACTAAACGGCTATTTCTTGAGAACATTTAAAAATCACTTTTAGCGTTGGATATGAATGCTTTACATTCATTGAGATGTATATTTAAATAGCAATCCAGGTTGTTTAGTATCCAGAACCATCTTATGTATTCACCAAACATGTAACCATAAACTTAAAGAGTTCGCTCTTTATGTTTCATTGAAACCAACGGAATACGTCAAGGAAAAAGGCAAACTTATTTTATTTGTCAAGATTCGGAGCTATATTTTCACGTAATTGGAAGGCAGAAATTCGTTAATACTGAACTAATATAGCGTTCTTTCGATCACTGAGTTTATAATTTCTTTCAAGGATTCTTTCGAAATTTGAATATTTACGCAAATAGTGGTAATTCAACAATAATACTCCGTGTTTAAAACCTATATTCCGTTTGTTTGTTAAAATTGTATGACATTATATAATCATGAAATATTTTTTGACGATTCTGTGTTCAAGTGATAGAATACTGATTTTATTCTCTGTATAAAATATTACATCTTATTTATCCTAATTTTTTCGAAGCTCAGAAACGATTTTAAAAAGTATTAGTTTTTTCGATTTTTGAAAATAGCTAAACAAACTAAGTGAATTTAAACTTAACCCCATTGCACAATCAAGTGGTTATCAAGACTCAGTAGCTGAGTGGATAACGTGATGACCTTTGAAGCGAAAGGTACTGGGTTCGAGTCCCAGATTGAACACCAACTCTGAGATGCAGGTACATCCAGCTGACGAGTCCCTAATAGGACAAAACGCGCGTCCTGGATTCCACTGCTAGCCACTATACATCTTTGCTTATAAGTTAAGTGTTGTTTTTATTGATCAAAAGTGTCTTGTATTTAAAGGTATTTAGAAGAACATCATGTACACTGACAATTGTCACTGTAATCAATGCTGATTGAATTGACAGAGAACAGAATATCAACCTAAACTACTTGGAATTATTTCGTAGTAAGAATAAACGGACATTCATTAGTACTGGAATATTAGACCATATTGCTAAACATTATTCTATAACCTAATTGTTTAATGATCTCAACACAAGCTAAAGTCACTTAGTTAACTGTAGATTTTGTAGGCACTCAACAAAACAACAAAGTAATATGCGTACAGAGCATGAAACATTAGTAAATAACTGCTCTTATAATTTACATCACGGACTGATCTTAAACAATCATTCTAAACCAGGGAGCACTAGACTCTCTAGCTAAGGAGACCCGCTACTCCGCGTGTGAACTGAACTCAGGACTTTTGGTTTTACAGAGAGCACTTAACCTCTAGACCCCCTATACGTGAATACTTATTCGTAAATTTAAGAAACTAAAAAAAATACAGTGAAAAATTTAATGGTAAAATCTAATGGTTATTATGTAACATGGAAACAATAACTTTTGACGCAAAATATAACAATGTTGAACTTTATCACATAATGCAGCGTAAAAAGAATAAGTCTTAAATTTATCTTCTTTATAAAAAAACCAAATGTCTTTTTACTCCAACTTGTACACATAGCACTAATAAAACATCCAACAACAAAATAATGGAAGATATTTGCTTTCATTAAGCTAACTTTTAACGATATTTTCTAGTTATCTGCTTTAAAAAAGCTATGAAGACTTATGAAACGATAGCTAAGTAGTTAGAGTCATTGACGTTTGACCCTTTGGAATGAACAACTTAGAAGCTTACTTCATCTCAATAACTAGATTTCGTCAACGTAGATGTATTTGATATGTACTTATACAAGTAGCTAAAAAGTGGTGTCTCCCTAGATTATGATTCGTTGTCAAAAGATCTGAAAACATTTCGACATAGTTCATACTTTGTAAAATAAATCTACTGTAATGGAGAAGCAAAATGGTCTGCTTTACGTTTATTCTGTTTTGTGAAAAGTGATAATATCCTAACTAGTATGAGGTATATAATTCTAGGTTCTTAGATCACTAAAAGAGAGCAGTTTACAAGTCCATAATGTATATTATCACATTTTAAGCCAAATATTCAATAAATACAGTCATTTAAACGTACTTTTACTGTTTCCGATAGCTCTTTCCGGTACTGATACATTCTATGAATGAATAAACAGTAATTAGGAGAAAAATTCAAGTATATTAAACAAGAACTAGTTGGTAATTATTAAAATTATCACTTTAAAAGATCATTCAACACGAGAATATATTATGTTACAGATAATGCTTATCGAATGTATACAAGACTCATGTTGCATCCTACATGAAACACACTAGTCAAGTGTAGCGATATCTCAATATTGAAGTTCACACTGAAATATTAGCCTAGTACTCATCACAAATCCCGTTTGACGTAGCAATCACTAGACAAATTTATATCGTACAAGCTGATATCTGAATAAAACATGGTTAATTGTCACAGAACTATTTTAACTTGGTTCAATAGTTTTTACGAATAAGAATAGAGAACACCTTCAAATTTATGATGGGTGACAAATAATTATTCGGTGAGTAACGGCGAGACTATAATTTATGGAGGACCTTTGAACGAATCTCAAGTGACCTTGAGAAATATTAGCCAATCAGAAAACAGTTAGTGTAAAGTAAAAATATATTATTCAAAACCAAAGAATTAAAGTAGGTACACTCTTTTTACGTGGTACGAAAACTTGTCAAGGTTATAAAGAGGTTCAGAGGTTCTAAAATCTTAATGCATCTATATGGCTCCATAACAGTCGGCCTCTGGAGCCATGATAAGGTCGCAAAAACCCTTTCAGCCTCGACCACATAGCTTAATATTGTTTGTGTGCACTCCAGTTTTTGTGTCCACAGAATGTCGTTTCTGGATAACGACACGATGCACATAACCAAGTCTATGTAGGCAACTTTACGCTCTCCAATTATCCGTGTATATTGTAGTACCCAGTTGCAGCCAGTGCTACTAGTGCTTTTATTATCGAGTTCGCGGCAATTGTCATAATTTTTTTTAGTCTCAATCTGAATCGAACGAAAAAACCCTACTCTAAAAGACTTCTTCCTACAACACATATTACATCGAAAGACAACATCATCATTGTAGTCTGCACAAGGTCCATAAGTCATTTGATCATCACAATCACAAACAAAAGAACTTCTTTGTAGTCCTATTTATTGTAGCCATCAATTATCACGTTTTCTCTAGAATCCACTATGAACCGATCGCACAGGAGCATAAGGTACTAAAATTGGCGTTGTGACCTTGAAATCCGTCAAACGCTTCTGATTGGCTCGTCAACAGATTGTAGTCTCGCCACCTTTTTAACCTGGTGTTACTACATTTTGTGGAGGCACTAATAAAATAGCATCTTTTGGATTTTCGGGTGAAATTTACTTATTCATATTGGGTAAAGAGCATTTTTAAAATATAGCTGCAGTCATGTTTTCTGATTAAAGCTCTAACCCTGAACTTTTAATCCCAAGCCTAACTAGGGATAGTGTAAGGTTGCTTGAAGACCTGTTTCAGTCCTTGCAAGCGTCTCAAGAAGATGGACAATCTGTATCCATAAGGATGAATCCAAAGGTCGTTGTTTTTCCGTTTTACAGGTAGCGTAACTTGTGAAGGACACTAATAGATTTATCGATTATACATCTCATTCCTTGTAATACTATTTTTTCAAATTATCCATTTATAAAAGCTATTTTCTAACTGGATGGGATCTGTCTAGGAATTTTTCCCAGTTCTTTTAAGGTTATCCGTAAAGTAAAGTATACTCTATTCTGGAACTCAATTCGCATAATATAAAAAAGTTTATAGATATATTACTTTTACAGTCGGCTTTTACTTAAAATTTGGAGGGAGCAGGTAATCTATACACATAAATACGTGCGTACATATAAGTGTGACATACCTACTATTTACACAAATAAACTACAAATGAAAATACATAAGTTAACGTTGGTGTATTTCAGACATAGTAAACGTTTCAGAATTAAATTATCATCAAATTGTAATTAATCTGTTACTGTTTATTTCATGGATAACCAATAATAGCTTTCGGTATTAGAGAGTTAATTAGTTGAACGATTATTTGCATGAATTAAGGCTTGGAAAGCATGACAGTTTTTACACACTGATCAACCAGGGTATATTACTGCATAATAGGTGTAAACCGAACAATAGAATAAATATTTTTTAAATTGACCCATCATAGTAATTCTCTGATGTGACTAAAACATTAATTTAGATATAGTGTTTTTAAATGCACACTAGATTATTCACCAAGTCAGTTAGATTAAATATAATGAAGAAATTAGTAATAAAACAAACCAAAGTCACGATCTAGAATAACAGAGAATGAATCCAGCTTCACTGCAATGACTAACTATGAACATTGATGTTACACATACCTATCTTAAAAACAATACAATCAAATGGTTTCTTTGCCTTCTTTTTCACCCTCGAATTTATAGTTTTTATACAAAGTAGTGAAAATCCTACAAAAATAAACATTTGATTTAAGTAAATGGTGACAGTGTTTCTAATTTTAAGACTTTACTTCAAGCAGTGTACTAAATGAGATACTTTATCACTTTTCTGGCACGAATAGATAATATGTGAATAAGTCATGAGATTTTTCCATGGATTGAATGTATATATGTTGTCCATCGTTAATATGATATGTTGAATAAGGAACTGTACCATTATTCTTATAGGTAGATTAGTAGTCTGTTCAGACTTTTAGATCACCTATATTTCAACCAGTGAAATGTTGAAGTGAATTATCGTATTTTTGATTGGTTTTATCTAAGTAACTACGTATATCAACTGCGTAACCTACTAATACGCGTTTTAGAAAGCATAGAGAGTATTTACAAGCTAAATACTACGAAACTTAAGCGGAAAAACTGCAGCGGTCGACTTGTTTTTCGGTCTAAACGTGATTATATTGCAAGATGTAATCTTGCTTGTAAAATGCAATATGAATGCTTTAGAGTTTATTATATCAACATGAGGGTGGGACTGACTGAAAACATTTACCGAAAAAGTTAATCACAGCTGTTAAAGTTTCTCTTAATACACAAGTTATTTTGTGTGGTACGTATTCCTTATTCTCATTGAACTACATAAACCAGTTCCTGTTTGTATATCTAATCATTTTAAATGAATAACGTACAGAATTTAATTGACTCAGAGTATAAACATACAAGTTTTGTAAAAACAACATGATAACAGACTGTCAAAAAAGTGAGATGACTGAACTGCGAACGTAAAATCAGTCAATGAATCCAGATGTATTACTCTGTACAAACAATCTAGACCACACCTTTATTTTCATTAACTCTATGATATTTTATACAACATATTTATAATCAGCATTAGTATTGTACTTGTATGTTAAATACTCTAATTCATATGATCACTATTGAAAACGTGAATGTTTGTCACTAGTTCTCGTTTGAATGATTATTTTTAATATGAAACCTGAAAAGCAATCAATCACACTTTTAATTGTATGGATGTGAATAAGCTCAAAATTGAAAATGCTGGTTTTCAATTTTTTAGTGGAGAATGATTATTATTACTATAGAACCCGTATTAATCTTCATGCTAAATTAATTAAACTTATTCATCCTAACGGTTTTAAGTGTTTACTGATAATTAATAACTTGTTTGAACTTGCATACAAGTAAGGCGTGGTCTTTTTTTAATAATCCATACTCAGATAAAATGTCTCTAGAATGAATTTCTGACTTACAAAGGGAATCTCAACAACCAGTTATAATGAGATCCTTGAAGAAATTGTGTAAAGCATAGTTAACTCACCCTGTTAAACGTCAACCAGCTTGAAAAATATCTTTTAAAAATCACATTTCCATCCTCTGCTAAATAAAGAAAATTATTGTTTGTGATTCACAATTATCAGTCAATCATAATCAACATTCGAGCCTGGCATAATTATACACCTGCCCAAGTTGCCACATCGCATCAGAACAATGAGATTAAATTAATAAGATGAATAAAAGATGAATCGAAATAAGAGTCTTAAATAAAGATAGAAAAGTTCATATCAATATCTGTGATAATTATTTAAACTAATACATAAAATTAATACAGCTAACAGATTACAATGAACGATGCTCAATTGAAATTAAGAAATGTAAACTACTAAATTTCATCCAGTGTCTGGTATCAAAACTTGGGAATTTGTATTTGTTGGAGTACTTTCTTACAGCTGAGTACTGATCTAGAACTATTTAGCCCATAGAGAATTGTATATGATTTAATTATAGGATATTTTGTCGAGAACAATTTAATGACAAGTGGTAGACTATTACTATTTATCAGCTAAAAAAATTTGGCACAAAATCAACCTTCAGATAGTACTTATTTCTTTATTGGGAATGATAGCTAAAAATAAATCTTATATACTGTTTGAGGACAGTGAACTTATAAGCAATAAGAATCCTTTTTTACATAAGCAACATTACAGTTGAATGAATAAGTAAATGGATAAAACTAGATAGAGAAAAATGTTATTGGTTGGATTTTAAAAAACGACTTATAAAGTGAAGATGTTGATGACCAGTTCTCTTTTTATTTGAAATTAGATTTTTTAGGAGGATGGTCAACATTTTTAACTATTTCGTTTTAAGAAATAAGTTAAGTGTTTATTTACAATCAATCCTAGCCTGAATAAAAAGGTTACATAATGTTCCAATTTATTTTATTGGATATTTAATCGTTTGTTGTACGTTAATTGTTAAACTGTAAGAAGTGATTAAAATATTGGTCATATTCATTGAATTTCCCAATCATCTTGTTAGCCACAATGTACGAGGGAAACTGAGTTAAAATGAAGCTAAAGTACTCATTGATGATAAAGTTTGTCTGTTACCAAAATTGGAAGTTAGGCATCAAAATAAATGAATTATATATGCATGGATATATTGACGTTTTCAGTATGAACTGCGGAACTCCTGAATCGTTGATGAATAGCAAAAAAAGAACTTCAAATGGAATGTTAACAATTTAATTGACTTGATGATAAGAACCAGAGAAGACTGAGTTACCTAATTTAGTAATTCACTGACTGAAGTGAATTTTAAATCCTAACTAGAC